GAGGCGTACGAACATCCTTCCTCGGGGAAAGTAGGTACCCGGAACGTGATTTCCTGTAAGTTGATGATGTTATCCTTACCTCATTTTTGAAAAATCCTTCGTTAGCCCTACTTCATCTAAATTTTACTTTTGTTTAACAGATAATTTATAACTCTGGTCTACAATATGTACATTTTCAAATTTATAGCTTCTGCAATATCCAATGTTTCTTTGCCCTGACAAATTTTCTTAACAAAGTTGTACCAAAAATCAAGGTACCTTTCTTGCGCGCAAAATACGATTGTACTGTATAAAGCCTTTTAGCTATTCATTTCAAAATGAAGTGGAAAAGAATGGTTTGGAATTGATTCTGCAAATGATCAACTTTTCGGTGTGCATCGAAGCAAAGAAATATAGTCATCTAATAGGGGTTCAACAAGTGAACGGGTTAATTTGCTGCTGTCCTTTATTTCGGCGTTGAATGCAATAATTCCACCCGTAGCGATAACAAAAATTTTGTGGCTCGAATAAAACGGGTGAAGTGCGTCGATTCGTTTGTCCACACGACCGCACCTGGAACTGTTGAGACCTATTGGGCACGAAACCAGCCACAAGGGCAACCCCCAGTTGCTCACCTTGCTCCATTTCAGTATTTCCTTCGTCTCCCCCACTTGACGGCTCGTACATTCATTACGAACGCTCGAACCCCGCGGTATGGAATCGACGTGGTCAATTATTCCTGAAACCCACGGGTAGGGGGGTTGATCCTCGCAAATAGATTCTTCCGGCTCGTGGCTAGAATTGGGAATTACCATAACGCGTTTACCTCGGGTGGGCGAGTGGCCCCGCGGGAAAGGCAACTGTGCTTCGAAGGCAGGCGTCTTCTTGGATTCACTTATTGGAGAGCGACTTCAGCGAACACATCTCTCGGGTATCGAAGGTCCCTTGTGCGTCAAACAAAAAAACCGGATACTTCGAACGAATTGGGCTATATAAACCCTAACAAGTTGACTGTCGCAATCCGAAAGTGCCAGCAACTCCAGTGGCGACTTTTCCTTCATTTTACTTCTACTTTTCTTTGGACAGGGAATACTCCGTCGCAACAAAGACATTAGGTCCAGTGTTCCCCAACCTTTTTGGGCCTGCGGACAAGCGAATTCCCCAAAAAATTTCGCAGACTGGCAAATTCCCAAAAAGATTTACTGTGGACTGGTGAAGATTCATAAATTTTTTGCAGACTCGCCAAAATTTTGCTTGAATGTTATTAGGCAGGTAGATACCAGAAAAATACAGTTAAAAATGTCATCAAACAATTAGAAAGGTTGGCTTGGAGAAAGGTATCTCAGAATGAAAAATTGAAACAATTTATTTCAGCTGGTGAAATTTTGTCAGAAAGTATTAATAGGAGAAATGCCAACTTTTTGTTTCATCCAATAATTCAACTGACATTGCCCTTTCTGGAATTTTTGGTAGAAAGAACAGACTTCATCCTGACTTATGGTAAATTTATTATGCTGAAAATTTCCTATGGACCAGCAAAAAGCGTCTGTGGGCTGGAACGGGTCTGTGATATCAAGATATTTCAAGATATGTCAAGATATTTCCTTCAGCATATTAAATTTATCAAAAGTAGCAGTCTGTTATACAGTATTTTTCTGAATTTTTGGAAAGACAATGTAAATTATCCAATGAAATATAAAAGTTGGTTTTTCTCTTAATAACACTTCAGACAAATTGTCACCTGCTCTAATAAATTACTTTAATTTTTCATACTGAGAAACCTTTCTTCAAGCCCACCTTTCTAATTTTTTGAAAGCATTCCACAGTAGCTGCTTCACTGGCTCTTGATTTAATTTTTTTCGAATACCTTCCATATCTTGCAAATCAATTTTGTTTAGTCTGCAAACATTTTAGGAAACTTTACGAGTTTAAAAAATTTCTTCATTTACCAGTCTGCAAAAATTTTTATGGAAATTAACCAGTACATGGGCCAAAAAAGGTTGGAGAACACTGCTCTAGACTGTGGCCAACAAGAGAATGGTCCAACATAACTACCTACACAAACATATTCACAGCATGTGACCATTTAAAGAGTTCTACAACTGTTCCCGTCAACAACAGTAAAGCATAGAATGAAGTTTTTTACATGGATCTAGAGCTGACCTAACCCAGCGCCTAACTAATCTTGGCGATTGAGCATACAATATAGTATACTCAAATGAAGTGTAACAATTATTTTTAATTAATTGGAAAACGAGTCATATAGACTTCATAGGCTTAAGAGTCGGAGGAAGAAGCACTACTCCTCCTAGCGTATAGGGAACTCTTACTGCAATATTCGAATAAACGTCCGTTCCCAGAAAATATATATTCAAAAGAAATCACTGCATTGTCGATCACATTTTGGTGGTCAGCCATTTACTTCAACTTTCGAAAAGATTACTCCTGTACTGGCGCTAGATTGCGTGAGATGAACTCCGTGATAAAAAGAACTGAGTTCATAGCCTTAACCTGTGATCACTGACTTTGTTCTGGAAAGCAGAACGACTCCTCCGGTTACCCTCAATTGATCATATCGTCTCAATTATGCCCCGCCTCGAGGTGAAACTGAAACGAGCTCGAATCATTCGTTCATGATTCACAGCTCAATCTAAAAGCAGGTGTTCGCAATGGACATTCCCTCTTCTCGGATAGTTTATTTACAGAAAGCCCTGAGCTTGCTTGTTCAATAAAATGGAAAATTCTCGTCCGTGAGGACGAATTCTACGAGTGGTTCATATCGAACAAACCAATGAACACAAAGTCAAAGCCAGGACAGGATTTATTGCGAACTATAAATTCGAATGAATTCGTTCATTTGCAAAAATATGACCCATTGATACGAGACTCGGCGATTTCCATCAATTCTCTCGGAAAATCTACAACTTTCATTCAGCCAGTATATTAAAGCTTCTATTAGCTCTCTGTAAGCTAATCTCGGATTCAGCGAGCTCAATAAAGTGGTCCGTAATTTCACGAAAATCGAGGGTTATTTCGCAATATTTCTGCGTTCTGAATTATTATACAATAATCCATAATTTATATCTGATTCGAAGTTTCCGATATTTTACGATAAAATCTATTTCAATCGTGCAGTTGACAGTCATTCTGAAAAAATACAGGGCCTAACCCGTGAATGAGGCAAGCGTAAACTTTCAAACCGTTTCGTAAATTTTTTGCTTCAATTTAACTGTAGCTACAGAACTCACCAATTCGATCCGCATGAATTTCCGCGTATAATGCAGGTTAACAATTCGATTAAAAACAAAGCTACCAATTTCATTTAAATGTGAGCCTACTATCCTTGTTTTTCTTCCACAGTACTCTACTGTAATTGTGACCCAGTGTTTCAATTATCCAAAAGGCATTCGGTGGGTAATGAAAGTAAATTTTGATTTTTTACGTACGTACCGTAAATCGAAACACAATTTTGTATTCGAATCCCGTTAATATAATACTGTACCGTACCTGTATCATATTTAATGTACTTCGTACAGTACGCAGTTCGGCGATGAAACGCGCTGTAATTTTTCTCCCAGAAAAGCTTAGAATTCCAAGTGCGTGCCGTTGTCAGGTTGTGTTCGAGAACTTATTTCAGAAGTGAAGGTTGTTATCGTCCGACACAACTAATGATGGAAATACTGTAGTTGATGAAAGCTGGCAAGATTCGCAACGGGCCGAAATCTGTACTCGGTAGCTTTTGATATAAATGATCCGCGAACTTGAAGTTGCTCTCAGCCGAGTCATATAACCTGAGGGCCCCAGGGAAGACAAGAAACCTCGGCAGCATTCCTGCAGACAGTCGAGAAACGGTAACCTTTATTGAGGCCCCTCCTAATCCCGAGGATGACCATCGCAAGCTTCCTCATCTTCTCCTCGCAAGTAAGTACCATGATCAAGGCTTTCCTCTGATGCGCATCCGCACAGACCGTGACGCTGCAAAATGCTCAGCACAAGAACGGTCAATACATGCCCAGCTCTCTTGAGACGCAAGGTTAAGAGCGCATTCAACGCGCGAAGCTGCTCCGAGCAGACGGGGATGAGTCTCACGGTCAACTCTTCCTCCCTATATGCCGGAATTAGGTGTTTGAACAAAGAAGAACCGAGTAATCGCGTACGTTTTCATCGAGAGGTCACATTCAACATCCACCGTCTCGTGTACAGTACCATACAGTACAGTACTATAATCATCTCAAGGACTTATCGCGGTCGGAAGTCGTTGGCAATCAATTCGGCCAACTTCCGTACTTCTTGACTCGTCGGAGCTCGAATACTCAGCCAGTATCGTCGAAATTACAGACCCGTCCTCTGAGATAAGAAAAGGCTCGCGATCGGGACTGGAAACGACGGAAAACTGAATCAAGCGTGATTTTCAACATTTCTGGAATATCTTACAAACGTGTTTCTGTTAGCGTGCCACTTACACGAATACCGAGCTCCACTACTGGCTTTCTCATGAAATAAGGAACAATCAAAACATTCATTCTTAATTCTCCCACCGTTTACATTTTCTCACGCGTGTGTCTCTGTTTCCGATTTTGTCCATGTATAGGGTACGATACTGTGTTTCCAATTTAGCTTCACTCGTTCGGTAGCTTGACTCTGCCCTGAGAACATATCGTATGCACACGCCAAGGCGCCCGCCCACATGCCACTGGCCTGGCAAATGAGATGCATGATCCTTCGCCTGGCTAATTCATCAATTTTGCAGACCCGTCGATCATGATTTGTGGGCACCATGAACAGGATCAAGTCGAACCCGAGTTCGGAGAAATATTGAGATTCGGAACGCCAACATAATAATTCAGAAGGCTACGTGACAGGAAATAGGATTCCTAGAACAATGAGAGACTCCGTGTAATCGGTAACATCGACCGGCAGCATGAATTTTTCATAGTGTTGCCCCGGGATTATTGGAGCAGCTCTATTACAGCCGCAGGATTCCCTGCATCTCTCTCTGTATATCTGCTTCCAAATCCAAGTCAAACGATTGTATAAGAACTTGGATAAACGTGCAGAGCAACTGACGCCACCAGAAGTACTGTACAGAATACAAGCATAATTCCGTGGAACGGGATAACAGTAGTTTTTTCCAGAGTTCAAGAATGCTTCGAAAATCTTTCCAGATTATTTTATCCACTGGATAAATTCTAAAAGAGTATTTTAAGGGATAACCATGGTCACGGATCAACAAACTTACAATTCAAAGAAACGACTTTCTGATGTTTCAGTGGGGTACTGTGCTAGGAAATCAACCAGTACAGAAATACTCCATCGCTGCTTCAACTGGAGCAGAATAAAAGTACCTTAAACCGAAAAGACTACTCAGTACTTGATCTGTACAGCTCTTTAACCTCGAACTCGTCAGAGCATTAATACAATCGGGATGATATGGATTCAAAAAACCCGATATACATTCCACGGAAACTCACTTTCCTTCTCGTCGAATGACTCAGGCCTAGCAATACAAGTATTTTCCCACGAAGTCACGTTAAATGCCAGCAACACTAGGTAAAGTGACATATCTCAGCCAATTATCGTAGGCAGGACAAACAATGAAAGCAAAACAAGCGTCTATGCGTGCAACCCCACCCTCGGTAAGCGTTTGTAGATTACTGGAACCCCAATAAGGTTGCAGAATGCAAATCATAAACAAAAGGGATTTCTCAAGCAGGAACTCACCAAATATGGCGTCTCGACGTAACTGGTGTTGATTCACGGACAGGACGGATGAGTAAATCCCGAGAGTGACCATGCCAATCAGCGAGATGATCTTCAGCCACCATCGAACATCTCGACCCACGACAGCTTTTAGCAAACGCGGCATGACACGGCTCGCGCGCGCCACATCGACGACGGACTCATAAGTCACTGGAACCAAGTGTGGTTTCCTGAGGACCCCTTCTCTTGTCTGGAAAACGGTTCCGAGAGGGAGAACGTGAGAAATATTTGTTTTTTGCGAAGCCAGGCCAAAGTAATCATGTGAAGACTTGCGCATTCTAGCGCTAATTCGACTATTCGATCGAGAGGGCATTTGTACGGCTACCCAGGAGCAAGACTGCGATTCGATACAGCGGTTACATGAGTAAAGCACGCGGACGGGAAGCACACTTAAAATTGAGGAAAGGTGCTCATAGAAAAAGTGTTTTTAAAAATTTAATATTTCGCTCTCTTGAAACTCATTTTTCTCCGTATAATTTTGGAAATGCTACACGGTATCACTGAAATATAAACCACAGAAAGGCCCGGTGAAAACCACCCAACGATTAACCACAATACTCGAGCACTTCTTTCAGAAAACGAATCCTCTCAACATTGCTCCGTCACAGAAAATGTCAATAGGACGTTCATCTGTCAAGGTTTTCCTCTGAAAAGCCTTGTTATTTGTTCTGTCCTTGATAAACCTCACGTTTTTTTGTCAGCCCAAACACGCCCTTCACTATCGGGTTTCTTCTAGATAAACCACCAGCCCTTGAATATTATGCCTGACTCATACAATCTTTAGCAAATCGCATATTTGCTTCAGCACTATACAACCTCAAGTCAGATGTTCAATTGTTGTTCAATTTAAAAAAGTTTGTATACTTTTTTCTAGATGGTTCGAACATTTTCCGAAAGTGTGAGGTGCACGCAAACTTTCAGAAAAGTTGGAAACCTCTCATCTAACTGCCGATGACCCACACCCTTATTTTTCAACTTCATTTTGGAAAAAAGATGTATTGATATGTAAATAAGAGCAGTACAGTAATTCATTCGCACAAACTGATCGCACAGAAGGGGAGACATCATATTTCAACATTTTCCCACCAGAATCGCGATATAATCCCAGCAATAGTTTACATTTTGAATAATAAAATATACGTTTTTCCTTCCTGGAAAACGTTTCCAGTCAATCCAACCAAAGAGAGGGTTCAAAATAAACAAAAATGCGTCATTAGAGCTTCGTGGATGCTCTTCATCGCTGGATGCTCCTCATCTCGGTGCTTATATCCGCGCACATATCAAATTGACTGAATATTTTGCACGTGAAATGTCCAACGATATTGCGGACGAAAAAAAGGGAAAAGAAATGCATGCGATTTCCGAGCGACTTTGACGGAATATCTAGTGTTACTTGAGTGAAAACGTATTTCTATCAAATCGCAGCATCGATCGAAACGTAGCGTTTCGCAAACGACCTACATTTGTCCTTCGATCTTCAGTATTTTCTGCTGGTACGCAGGAAAATTCGCCCCACGACAGCTAGAGGCTATCGAAGTCTATAATAGCTACAGATACCGTTGCTTTTCCATCAGCTAAATGCTCACGAATAAAAAATCGCAGATTTCATGGTCTGTGATGACGAAAGGGCCTTGGAACATGGTCAAGAAAATCTGAAGTTCGTCACTTTTTTACAGGATGCACATCCTGTCAGACCGTGTACGTCACATGGGAGAGAGCTGCAAATGACTAACAGATAAACGTGGACTCCTGGACATAAAAACTCATCGTGCAGCCCTTCTCTTTTTAAATATAATTTGGACGAACGAAAAACCCTCAAGTCCTTTTTTATGGATATTGTATTTACAAATTTCACGAGCCACAATGCGTCTTTTTGGATGATGAAAAGGAAAGGCAAGCCACAGTAGAGATCATCATTGATCATCCACCGACGAGCGAAAGCCACGGCAACCAAACATTTTGTCGAGAACACTTCACTGTGTGGAAACCACTGCGGTTTCACCGAAACTTAAAAATCTCGCGCAGAATTTCACGCATTTGTTTGGAATTGAGTGGTCTGGTTTGAGAACAACCAGCCTTTGATTGTCACTTGCAGGAGAACCATGGACTTTTTTCTTCGTATTTTTCAAGGTAAAAGTATTTTTGGAGTATTAAAAAAACAGGCAAATGTTGAATCAACGTAGACTATAAATCCGTCATCGATTTTCGCCGAATTTTACTCAAGGCTTATTCTCGGGAAAAGGCTCAACACGAAGGTCAAGGGTAAATAGTGCATTCTCAGAGCTGATCGACGGGGATTCATTATATATTTTAAAAATATATATACTGCATTGTGCAACCGTATTCACTTGAATGTATGACGCCACAGTTCGTATGAGACAAAAACGAGCTCCCATTTTTCGAAATTGAATTAACGATTTTCAAAATTCATTCATCACTCATTTTCATCAGATGAGATATATCTGTTTATAGCTCACCTGTAGAGCAACATTGGTGTCTAACATATTTTCACTCCACGCGAGTTTAGAAAGCGTCACACACAGTGTATTATACTGCGTAACATTTTAAGGACGCACTACACTATTAATGAGAGGCCAGTTCTTGCGAGTCAATGTGCTCGCTTCATTTATCGTGCCGTCAGATGAGAATCTTTTCTCAGATTTTTCGCTTTTTTAGCTTTTCTCATCGTCACCGGGTGACTTGATATTGCAGTGAAGCTTTCTTCAATTGAATTTTTAGTTTCGTTTTTACTTGAGCGTTCCAGTCGGTTAAAAGTGATTCCTTCGGATCTGAGGCGCCATGAATTTAAAAAGCAGACCAATTTTCACAGCTCGAAGGAGCACGTCTTTCACTCAAGTAAACGTGTTGCCATGCCTGGGTTTACGTTTCTTCTGCAAATTCACGCCACAAAGCAAAAAATGCCTGGTTCACAGACCAAGGAGTAACCTTATAAAAGTTTTTTTTTTTCATGTGCTGGACATCAAAAGCTAACCGAGCAGAGTGTGTCAGAATAAGCTCTAACTTAGTCCAAGTAAAACAATTCTGACTCGCTCGCTCACAACTCAGTCACCGGGGGAAACTGCTGTAAAGAACGCAGCGCCCAAGACACAGAGTCGTCCACTCGGGTCCGCGCCCAATGGGGGAATGCTGGCAAAAGAGAGAAGAGTCTCTGATTAAGTGGAAGACTGGCCTCCCTCGAGTAGCTGGACACAGAGGCCAATTCGTTCTCAAATGATCAAACATTTTTTAGACGGAGCGCGTGTTTTATTCCAAGTACACGTGCTTTATTCGCAGGGTTCGAATTCGCAAGAACGAAAAAAATTCAGAAATGCCTCCCTCGCAAAAAGTACCAGGGAAGTAGCCTCGTGAAAGAAAAGTGCTCTCCAGCATGCGCTGGTTATCACTTGAGCCAACTGAGCGGGGTTCGTAAAACGCTAAAACTATGTTCGCACTGGCTTGCGCACAAAGGCTACTCGGTCTGAATGCTCAAGGGAGTAACCTTCCCTGAGGAACACACTGCTCAAGACACTCAGGCGTCCACTCCGGTCTGCGGCCAATGAGGGAATGCCCGCACCAGGGTTAGGAGTCTCTGGTTAAGTGGAAAACTCGCCTCCCTCCAGCTGGCCGCAAAGGGGCTCACTGGCGGGTGCTGGCTGGCGATTGTTTGCGGAGGAAGCCTTGCGGTTCCCCGCATGCCGGTGCCAGCACAGTATATGGAGAGGGATTCACTCACGGAAAGAGGGGAAATGGTGTCCTAGCTCTGGCATTTCGCATGCGAATTCAAGACGCACCCGAATTTTCTTTTTCGGGAGTCAACACGAGAAATAATGAGAATGATTGTCAAACGAGGGCGGCGCAGCTTCACAGTAAGTCCTTGGCGATCACCGTGTCGCGCGGTTTTCGACCCAGTGGGGGTGCGGTGGGTCCGATCGCCGGAATCCAAAAGGTTCGCGGAGGCGCCCATGGGACCGGGTGTGCTGCGGAACCATCGGCGGCGGTCAGATCAGCGTGTTGCTTCGCACCACCGGAGGCACCCCACTGACTCCACCGCACGAAAAAAAAAAAATGTCCGAATGCGTGTTGCTCCGTTCCCCGGCCTCGCAAAAGGCGCGAGACAGTGAACTAAAAAGGGAACCTGTCCTTCGAATTCCGTCACTAATCAGCGCCAGCGGAAAACTTGAGGAATGGTTCGAAGTGTGGTTTGTTTATCGCCTCTTACAGTCAAATTCTTCGCCCGCCGTCTTCACGTTTACGATAGTTGTGATGCAGCGGAGGAAGCCGTACAAAACACGCGCTCAGACAGCAAAGGCTTCTGCTACCTGCTCGCTTCTACACTCGATCCTTCGCTCAGAAATGCGCTCAGACAGTTCCTCAGTTTCAAAAAATTTACTAAAGCCTTTGCTAAAGTTCATCGTGCTATCGACGTCGGAATCCTCACAAAAAATTTTGTAATCTTCGTATAAGCATGCTCACTGCGTTACACTGTCAACACAGTAGGCACTATACTGTACCGGATCAGAAGATCTTTTCAACAAAAGCTTTCCCGTCAGTAACTTCTCCGAAAAATCATTCGCGTCTCAGCTCAAGGATAAAGGGAATATTCATTTCTTCGATTTGAGATTACAGTCGGTCTTCAAAGCTCGTAATGCCAGAAAAATTTCAACAGCTCGTCGACGACGGCATTTTTGGAATTAAAGTCATGTAACATTGTTTTTGCTGGACATTTTCCAAGGTATGAATCCCAAGAAAATATGCCAGTGTAAAACATCTTCCAAAAAATCAAATAATGATGGACAGTAGTTTACAGATCAATGGTTTTTCACGGCGCGTGCAGCCCTTCTTCGGCTACCCTTCCTCAGGGTTCGAAGGCCGCTCCAAAAATAAAAGGAACTGAGGTGGAATAAAATCCAATGTCAAGAATTATTGCAGCAAAGCATTTGTGTTGACTGTTACGTCAGAATTCCACAAGAATAAAAAAAAAACTACCTCACCTAGACCGCAGTTAATATTTCTCGGAGCAAAATAAAATATGCTCAAGACACGCTTTTTGCATGAAAGTAGCTTTGCCATGAAGTTGGCGGTGAGATGGATCACTTTTCAGAAATAGGCTGCGAAACTCTGGACTAGCATATACATTACATACAAACAAACGGCAGAAAATAACAGAAATAAAGGAAAATGTTAGCATTTTCTCGCCATTATTTGCTCCAAGAGTTTTTGTAGAGAATCCATACAAACATGCGTAGAGATCCCTATTGGGCCTAAAAAAAAAAATCAGTTTTACAGAGAAGTGGACAAGATTGTTATAGAGACGAGAGTCAATCTGTACTTGTACAGTACGTACTTCTGTAATGCTGTTGGATGATTCTTTCTTTTTTCAGTCGAACTTTTCTTTTTTCTAGCGAAAATTAGGTTATTCTGTACACGCTCAGCTCATGAACCCTGAGATTGTTATTGTTTTTATTTTTACGATGTGGTCAGAAGTAAATGCTGTGCTGTGATGAAGTTTTTTTCTTCTTCAAATTAAGCTATAATGCATAGGTCAGCGTTACGAGCAGAGCGATTATTTCCATCAGTGACGACGAGTAAACGCAGATGCCCCGAAGAGATGCTGCTAAGAAGCTGTCGATGGGCATTGAACGAGGAAGAGATGGGGTCGATCACGGGGACTGGGGCACGCAAGCGACAGACTCTATCTGCTAGCCTGCCGCCGAACTGATGAAGCGTACCTGGGCAAACGGAATGTATTAATCCAAGAGATCAACTTCGCCTCGAGACGGAAATGGGCTGAATATTCAGAACGTAGACCGGTTTAATGTTCGACTATCAAGATCATCCAGCTGGCGCCTAACGAGCCCTACGGAGCATCCCGGGGCTCGAAAAGCTTTCGCATGCAGCGCCCGAAGTGCAATGAGCGGGTCCTGGTCTCGGACACCATTAGGTGGAGCGGCGCTTGGGTCGACGATCTTCAGGTATTCCACGTGTCATAGACCTGCGCAGTCTGTGGATTCATACGGAGGATATGTCGAGGTTCCTCCCTGGTTCGGTTTTGTGGCTCCGGGGGCAGGCACCTTGTCGTTCAACGACCTCTGCGAATTGGCCGATAACTGCCCGGGTCGAGGGCGTTTGTGCCGTTGCGAACGCGTGGACGGTGTTCGGGTTTGGCGAATTTCGGGATTCTCGGCGGCCGGCCGACTGATTTCAATCAGTCCTCGACATCCAGGTGGTGGCGGTGTTGCAAACAATGTGGGCCTCCCCTGTTTCTGGGAAAATCGCCGACCCGCTGATCGATTAAACCACCTGCACGAGACACGACGCCTGGCGTCGCCCGGAGATCGGAGCGGCCTTACTGGTGGTGATACCACCCATTCAACCTTGCTTTCCCTCACTTGCCCGAACGTCGTACTGATCGAATCATCAGCGATATCTTCATCAGGCTCTTTGTCAGCGCTGGGTATTAAAATAACGTAATGCAGTACTGTACCTCAATTCATGATCGAATTTTCTTCTCGCGATGAGGGACACTTTTCGCGATTTATTTGTCAGCATGGTACTCAATTCCTCTGCAGTGTCTCTTCACATAAATAGCCTTTCTTATGGATTTCAGATCATTTTTTACCCCTGACACTTATACAATTAAAAATGTAATTAAATTACAGAATTCTAAAATTGATGTTACCGACGTTGCCGATTGGAATCCACTATAGCGAAACAGCTGAAATCAAGTCATCAGACCCGCCAAAATGTTTCCAATAGTTGGCAGCCAATTTGCATTCCGCACAAACAGTAAAGCATTCGTGAAACATGAATTCCGATGATTCGTGAATAAGCATTCAAGGGAGCTTTTTGGCGTTTATCGTTGATACTTTTTTGTAATCGAAAGCCGATACAGGAACAGTATTTTGAACGATTTGGCAGACAGCAATGCGCTTGGCTTGTCAACGATAGGCAACGTCGCGTCTACCTGCATCGTTTGCAGTTAACGGTATTACTGATTAACAACACCGAAAAATACTGTACAGCAGTGTATTGCGCATTTACTTTCCGGAATAATTTTGCGGTTGGAAAAATTACGCAACTGCCTCAACGAAATTGCTGGATCAAGGAATTTACTTTATTTTTCTAAAACAATGTTTGGTGCTATATGTGCGAGTCTCTAGAAAAGCACGCCGACGATAAGAAGAAGAAACATTTTCAAAAAAAAAAGAGAAAAACGCCCGGACGAAAAGCGTCCAAAAACAGACCCGCTCTATAAATAATTTTTTTCACAGCAATTAATTTCGCCTTCGAAATTTCTGCGTTGTTAACTCGGTTTTCCGGTGGTTTTGGAAACACAGTACAGTACTGCATCTGTAGAGTCTGAATTTTTCCACATTTCGAACACACATCTAAATATACTGTACAATGAATGCGCCTCTAGTAAATGGTGAATGGCCAGTTAAATATGCACGATGATTGCTGCATATGAAAATTTTACAATGTGGAAAGCGCTTGTCTTTATTATGCGTGGCTTCTTCAACAACAACAAAAACGAAAAATACTGCACTGTAGTATGAATGATTATAGATGATGAGAAGACAAATTTCGATTTAAAAAAAGGCTTGTGGACGATGGGAGAATCAATTTTATGGTGTAAATCTCCAGCATGTTAATTCCATGATTGCTGAGACTTGCTTTTTTAATTTTCTTATGACATTCAAGAGTTTATAAGCGGGAAAATTCAGACTGAAATAAGATAGGCAAATACCCCGGCAATGTCTGAAACTCAAGGCGAAGAAAAAAATATGGCTCTGTACTGTACTGTATGCAGAAAATTGAAAAAATATTACAGACGTCTATATGTGGAATCCAGTGAACAATACTGTATGTTTGACCAAACAGTAAGTTTGTCGTTGCGGCTGTGCGTGTAGTTTACCGGAGGGTTCCGCTACAGAAATTCACGTGAAAAAAAAAATCGAGAACCCTTGTTCATAGATATTGTTTGTCACTCCTGGTTCTTTCGGGACAGACGAATTGCAAGCTGTAGTGAGAGTGAGTGAGTGTGTGTCTCCATAGCTCGTCTGCGAGCAAATTAAAGTACTAAATCGGCCTTCCCAAGGCTGTTTACCCCGACAGGCGACTGATTTTCGGAAGTGTGTGGAAGCGGTCAATCACGCCGTCGTGGAATGCGGCGCACATACGCTGATGACCGACCAGTCGGCAGAAGCATTCCGCGCCCGCAGACGGGACAAAGGCGCGTAACATCCCCAAGGCCGACGAGCTACTCCAGTTCCCGGTATCATATCACGGTTTTAAAGCATCTTCCGATGCCTGGCTTCGAGCCTGAGACCGAGACAGCTCCATGAATCACACGAGTGCGTTTGCCGCACCGGATGCGCAGTAATTGTCCGCTTCGACCACGACGTGTAAAGCCATTTATTCGGAGACAGTCGTTCGCACATTCATCCTTCATAGATTAAAAACCACTGGGGGGCTGTAACAAAACAAGTGACGCCTTGCAGTCGCCCGCGGCGAGGTAAGGCTTGGAAGGGTATTCCTCTTCCTTTGTGTGTGTGTGTGTCTGTATCTCATTTGACGAAGAATGACTCCAGGACGGAATAGTCCGAGTCGCCACATTTGATGACTTCGCACTGGTACACGCCAGTCTGCAACACGTGCTCAGCAGGTTCATCGTTCCGTCGCTGAAGCCCATCAGACACGTGATTGTCAGCAGTGCCGCCGAGATACAGGGAAGAAGTCTTGGCGGTTCCGGGTCGCCGTTTGGCTACGTCGTCTTCCTCCAGTTCGATCCCGAGCTTGATGTCCTGGGAATCGGTTTTATTCCCAGCCGGGTACAGGGTCCATTTGAGCACCTGAGAACATTCCGATGGGTTAATGATGAGCTCATGGACAGTACACATATTGCCCCTGGGATGCAAAAATTCTCCTTGAAGGTTTTAGTGCATGTAAATCGACTGGCACGTATATACAGTACTCGGTTCGCTATCACGCGGATTGCGTTTTGGTTCATTGGATTTTAGACATGCGTCGATCGTGAGCCAAGGAAGATGAACGTTGGCATCATTACGAATTTATTTGTCATACTAGATGATTCAATCTGGCTCTCTGAAGCTCTTCCAAAATTTCCTTGAAGGATATCAGGAGGAGATGTCAGATTGGAGAGAATGCCTCTGGAACAAGCCGTCTCATAGAGACAATTTCCTGGGAGACAGATTGATTTTTCTTTCGTTGTTGTCTTGTTTTAAAATTTATTAAACTAGTTGAAGGAAATTTTGTCGTTTCTCTGCCCTGTTGCTTCTAATTTTCCTTTAATTTTTTATTTATATTTTTCGAGGATATTTCTGACTCGTGGCATTTTCCAGCTCAATTTTTGTCTCAATAATTTTCCGGAATTTTTTTGTTATGTCCTTTCATTTCTGCGGACATTTTCCCACGTTTTTTCCTTGATGACCATGTGATCTTTGGTACCCAACCAAAAGCCCCCCCCCCCTTTTTTTTTATATGATCGAGAGTTTCAACATGGGGTTTTCTCGATTATTATTTGAATTACTGTACTGTATATGCAGACCAAACTTGCAACAGTTTCCTTCGGGCTATTCAAGGGACTTGCAAAGCCAAGCGATGCGTCAGAAAATGAGAGAGAACTTTTAAATGACCCATACTGTACAGTATTGTACCTTGTAAAACTTTCAACCATGAATGGATTTTTGCCGAGTACTTCCCTTCGACCCTTCTGCCGTTACCTCATTGGGTGAGCAAGTTATTTGAATGACGAGAGAAACCGGAAAACTCATGAACAAATGGAGCTTGGAGCATTCGGCTTCGATCATTGAGTCTTGGTGTCATTACGAGCTGATCTTTACCACTAGAAAGAAAGTTAATATTAACGAAGAAGTTCTCAACCTTTCTGATAGCACTTCTGGAAATAATTTTCAGTGCGGAACCTCTTGAATTTTCATCTTGGCTACAAGGAACATTCCATTTTACCAGACATAAATCGTCATTCTATTGCATCGTTTTTCGAACGCAAACGCTGATTCTGCTTGGGTTTATCATTCTAGAATGATTGTACAGTCTTTTTTCTGCAGCAGCAGCGGAGCACCAGAGAACTTCATGCGGAGCCCTAAGGACTCTGCGGAGCAATATTTCGGGACCGTCTGCCCCACACAAGCAATACTTACACCTTGGGTGCAAAACGGAATCTCGCACTCCAACTTGATGGTCTTTGCTTGCAGGAAAACTTTTCCGTGCAACCCGTGCCCAATAGTCGCTACGGATCGTTTGAAAGTGGAATTCGTTTGTTCGCGCGTCGAGTCTCCATTTCTGTAATCAGCAAGCTCGGTTTGCGGCGACCGGAAAGTGACGACTCGCACGTCAGCCTCTGTCACAGTGGCTGACTCAGGATTCCAATCCACGACTTCTTCTGGACGGTACCGAATCCCCTCTGCGATATAGCCATCAACAGTAATCGGGGCGACATAATCGACAGGTGTTGACGCCAGGGCTTCCTCCGAAGTGACTGGTTGCTCCTTGACCTCGTCACTCTTCACGTCGATGACTGCGACATCTGCCGGGATTTCGGCATTTGAGTTCTTCTTCCCACTGATTTCCGGACCCGCCGAGTGCGTCAAAGTGTCTAATCCTCGCAGGTCAATCTCCTGCAAGGCGTCTTCATTGGCGTCTGGAACGAAAACCGGTGCCGGGGATGGGCGTATGAGTCTCCGATCGTGTTTCCTGCGATAATGCCTTGACGTGTCGACTAAGTAGGGTTCAGGGATAATGTTGATCGCCGCCGTGATCACAGTTGGCCTATAAAGCTCCCCTAAAATGGCATTGTGGTGCTCGTGTTCGCTCGAATAAAGAGGCTGATTGTTTTCATCAGGAACCACCGGCGAGTGTTCGTATGGCATGGGGTTCCATCCGTACTGGCAGTTCACACAATCGCTGTCAACTGGTGCATCATACTGTGCATCTGCTTCAGTCCATGGCGCTGATTTCCCTTCTTCGTATTCCCAGCCCAAAGGAATTCCAGCCGCATAATGATCAGCTGCGGAAAGAAAATTGCTTTGTTATCATCTCTTTGATCCGTCACAAAGGTCTCCTAATTTCATATCTCAATAGAACTTACGACCACCCGGCTAATGAACAGGTGCCTTCATCTGAGTGATGAATACCACGGATAATCAAATTGAAGGAAGTTTTATAACAATTTATAAACCCTCTCAATGATTGACGTATCTACAAATCTTGAAATGCATTAGTCTCAAAATTAGTTCATCAGAAGGAAATGGAGCGATTCGCATTGAAAATTACAAGACTTCGTTTCATCAGATTTTCTGCAGCGGCTTTCTTTCCTCTGAATGAATTCAAATTTCTGCTCAGGTAATTAAATGCCCGCTTCATCGAAATCCCAACTAACTCAAGTTTAGCACATGTATTTCGCCTTATCTGCAAGGTTTGCAGATTATGTTTGAAAAAGGACGTCGCAAAAAATTCACTCAGTCAAGAAGCCTTAAAAAGATTTGTTAAATCCCTTTTTTCTCTGGGCCGAAGGGTATTCCTTCTGCGTCATTGTCGCTTTTTCGTGCATTTAAAAATATATCAAGTCAAACTATTTCGAAGTCCAAATTGGTGATGTTGAGAAAAATCATCCCAGGCTTAATACAAGTATAACGCTTCATAGATTTCTGACAGAAGTTTGAGGGATCAAATCGATCATTGCATATACAGAGGAAAGTTTAACTTCTTACTTGCTGAGGATCTCCGTCATACCATTCACTAGGTGGAATAAATCCCAATTTGGACTGTATGGGTTCTATCCCCTTGGCACTTATTCTATCAAAAAATTACTTGAAGAATAAATCAAAGCATACAGAATTGAATCTAACTCGAACCTCCCGAAGCCGAATACCTTTAATGGAAATTTTTTAAATTCTCTGTCTGGATTACATTAGAAGCGATACATTAAAAATCTCTCTAACTCAAAGACTTTCCTGGTCAAACCTCCGTAACTCTAATTTTCTGGAGGCCTTTCGGCTATTATTTTATTGACAAAGGAAAGAGAAAAGTTCGACTTGAAGAGATTCGACTGTATACCTTGCATATGGAGGGTTTTTCTACAGCGTGCTGTTTTCACCGAATTATTTTTGTATCAGAGATTTTCTTTTGTGCGACTTTTCTGGGTGCTTTCTCGCTATCCACGTTACGTTTTCTGTGATTCCCTTGATGGAATTCGGATTTCACAGCACCAGAAAAAGATCAAAAGGCAGTGGAAAAAAGTGGCATCGCCACCGAATCAGGAAACTCGCTTTGATCCAAGAAATAAGGAGAATAAGGCATGCTTTCTTATGTTTGAAGCTAGGAGATGGTATCCGAGGGCGAACCTTGAAGGTGAGCTTGGCTTTCATCGACGAGATGATAATCTTTCCCTTCATCGTAGCCCTGGCCGTAAACGTATTCAGGATCCTGGGAAATTAGATACGGGGGAACTTTGCCCTCGGCAGCATCAAACCCGGGAGCAGAGTAGAGCACTGTTTCGAGTCCCGAGGCATCCGGTTGCTCATTGTATCTTTCCCCGCTGAAGACGTACTCGTGGTCACCGGAAGAATGCTGAGCGATTCCTGAATACCCAATGCTGTGCTCTTTCGGCCCGAAACTCTCGTGGTACTTAAGCCACTTGTCCGCGCCGAGTGCCTCTGCGTCGACGTGAGCGGAGTTCGCTCCAGATGACGGCTGATCGTTGTTGAGCTTCTCCAGGTTCCGTTGTTCCACCCCGTAGTTGCTTCCGGGGAAATTCAGCACGTAGCCTTTGACCGGACGTTTGACGGCGTTGTGCGTGTTGATGCCGACATCGAGACGTTTGCCTTCGCGCCCTGTGTCCGCCTGTTCCGGTTCTGACTTCCACTTGATCCTCGGAGAAACCGCGTATCGTTCGGCTTCTGGAAATATCATCCGACCCAGTCTTTTTCCCGATGAAGCTGCATTGGTAATCGAGGATCGACGGGCCGAGTCGCCCGACGGTGCGGATTTTTTCGCGGACCACACCCAGCGCTCGTCGTCTGCCGAATTTGGACGCGAGAAACTCGCAATGAGGAGAACTAAAACTAGATGTCGCATCCTTAATTTGAAGTTTGCGCGGACTGTAAGAAAAAAAATGAAGAACCTACAAGTAAAAAAAAGGATATACAGTAATATATGTACAGTATTTATATTCTACGCAAAACACGTGACCGAGAATACAACACTATTTCTTGGGTAAAAATACCGCCATGGTTGGAGGACTTATATTCAATTGTTCCACTTGGAAGAACTCCACCTGAAAACCTCATGATCACGTATACAGTATTAGATAATTGTGTTATATGTTTACCGTCTAAATCCGTTCCAGATCCCTTCCCAATAACATTTATGACTGGACTTTTAAACGCAGAAGAAAAATGGCAGGAAAAGCACTTCAAAGTCGAAAAAACTGCTCAACGGAATGTATATAGAATATAAAAAATCTTTCATTCGCGTATTTGAAAATAATGCTGACAGTCCTATTTTCCAATGCAAGCAACTTTGACTTAAATTTAAAGGTCGATATATTCCAAGCAGTTCATTTTAATCTAAACCAGTTTTCTCATCATCTGAGGCGAAAATACTGGTGCATGATGGCAGACCAATATGCAGTATCAGTTCAAAAATTTTGAAATACAGTCCAAAGAACAGCTAGCGCGTGGAATCTATATTGTTTGACCTAATTGCGCGATAACCATAATTATGTTCTGCGATAATAAACATGCATTCATTTTATTTAGTGAATTTTCACATTTTCCTGGCATCAGTGCATTGAAAAATTCAAAATGTGAGGAAAATACTTGAGATCATAATTCCAGACGACGGAAAGATGTCTTTTCGACCGAAATTTGTGGTGACTTCATGGGTATGGTTGATCAAAATCACGGATTATCATGATGGTTATACCATACAGTACGTACTTTCGTTAATATTCTCTGCTTTATTCATGGTAATGACAAAAAACCTAAAAATAACCATTAAAGAAGATTGTGATTCAACATATTCATCAATTTTCTCCTTGAACCTCAGCATCACTTTCTAGCTGAGACTGAATTATTCTTCTGCCTTCAACACATTTTCTAATTTTACCCTAAGGCGAGTCAATTTTTTGGTATATATGAATGACAAGTTTTTCCTGTCTTTTTCAAAAATGAATTCCCCTTCTTTTGCTGTTCTATTATCTCTTCGGTAGTTATGCTTCAGTTATATTTTCGCTTGAATTGCAAATAGCCTTTCACGTTGGATGATAGAAAAAAATTTACAGCATGGATATTAGTGATGGAAAATTAGTGGCATTATTTCCAAGTTTTTCGACATTTTTCCTTTATTTTTTAAATACTGTACTGTAGTCACGGGGACCGTGTATACCAGGGGTGCCCAAGATACGGCCCGCGGGCCAGATCTGTCCCGCGGAGGCTTTTTATCTGGCCCGCGGAGCTAGCATGGAAAATCTCCACTAAAAATTGAGACTCTCGAAAAGGAAAAATTGCAAGTTTTTCAAGACATCTTCAGCCAGCAATTTTGATTAGGAATTTTATTAGGGCTTCATAAATTCAATGATTCCTTCTAACTAGAAAGAACAGTTTGCATTGCTTTGTGATGTCAGTCATTCTGTTTTTCAGATTAAATGACAGGGTTTTGCAATTTTTTAATTCAAATCCTACCCCAGCATTATCTGTCATGTTTTTAATTTAATTGCATATCTTGATGAGGGAAAGATATAAAGCAGCTTACTTTTTTAATAGCATGAACAAAAGTAGACCATCATGTAAAAATGAAAATGTGAAGGGATATGGACAAATTTAGAAAGACAATTCAACACTGCTGGGCCAATTCAGATGGAAAATTTGAGTCAGGGTCAATATGGGACAGGGCCAATTTGAGACAGAGGGCCAATTTGAGCCAGGGTGATTTAGTGACAGGGACACTTGGAGACATGGACATTTTGATACAAAGACAATTTGATGCTCTCCCAAAGCAACTCTGCACAAAATATGTTTCTTTCTTAGACACTTATTTTCTGGCTTTCTCCAGATTCTTAGTGAATCTTAAGGAGTTTTCAACTGAACTAAAATTTCAGGTTGTCCTCAGACAACCTGATTATTATTATTCTCAACATTTAAATTCACTCATAATTTTCAGTTACTTACTGCTTTTGGACTTTGGTTGAATCTTTTTGAAAAGTTTTGCAGATTGAATTCTATGATTCCATTATAAGAAAAATCCAGTCATAAATCCCAATGAATAATGAATGAATAATGAATGAGTAATGAAGATACAAGTTGAACAGTATTAGTAAAAATGAAGCAGAAAAGTTTGTAGATGAAAAAAGTCAAATAGCCAGATAATGAAAATCTTGAAATACTTATTGAACTTGATTATAGACTAGAACTTGATTTCTTATGAATTAGAATAGTTCAACATTAAACCATCCCAGAAATTCATGAATTATCCAATGTACTGGACAACATTTGTTCCTTTTTTCCATTTTGGCCCACATAATGCTCTTCTACTTCAATGTGGCCCTTGGCCACTTCTGAGTTGGGCACCACTGGTGTATACTATCTTTAAAAAATGCACCTTCCACGGATTTCTCTGATACGAAAGTGTCACGACATCTGTTTGGATTGTTGAAGAGGTAAAAATCCAACACACTTTTTTTTATAAAAATGTGGCTGACGTTTTTCATTCTAGCTTTTCATTCCAATTACAATTGCATATCTTGACCTGACCTGGGCCGCATCATGCATGCAACAGACCTTGCATTTCAACTGCATCTCACTTCAAATTACTGTATCATATTGAGGAGAAACTGGTGGTATACTGGCACCTGTGCATGATATTGAGCATTAATGCGGAGCTGATCCAATGATCACAACTTACGCAGGACAAAACGAGGCTCGTTTAAAACTTGATAAGGAGTGCAGGAAATGATTACAGTATTTCTAACGTATGGGAATCATTTTGCAGAGACTTGCACGAACTTGCGTTTATTAATACAAATTAATATTTGGATGGCGGCTCAGAAAATATTTACAAAAATACCAAACTGTTCTTTCAAAGTAGGAGTAAATGTAGTGGGTGATTTCAAAGGATGAGCACTCTCCCGTATATACACAGTGCTGTCGAGGATTTAAAAGGCGCGTTTAGTGCGGATGAATCAGAAAATCGTCCACAATGCATGCAGCACTTTCAACTTTTATACATGATGACTGGAAACGCACATGTGGTGGGGGAAAAAAATTTACACTTGTGCATAGCAAAAATTTGGAGTCTTGGGAAAGCCGCCCGCGCGAGACCGATTGGCGTGTGAGACTGAGCTTGGATTCCTTTCGATGGAAAGGAAAATTTAAATCGCCACGGAGTTACATCAGCGCTTCCGGGTAAGCGGGCGTGTATATGGGCAACGCGAGTTCGGTGGAAATGGGCAACGCGAGTTCTGGCGGCGACCAACAGGGTCGAAAGGGCGGCTGTTCTCCTACCCAGAACCCACTGTTACGCCACACTGCTGAGTAAGACTCACAACATCCGGTCTGGGAAGGCAACGCCTTGGAGGCTCAGATGGAACATTTCTATGCGGTAATAGTTCTCTGCAACACAAAAGATCTGCCCGCGGAATCACAGAAAGAATGAACCACATTCCAAATAGAGGACAATAACCTTTCCCATGTGGATGAAGCATCGATGAAAGTACTGTACAAGCGGCAGTCAAGCCCTCTTAAGAAACCCCTCCCCCCCCTCTCGATTTGCCATCGCCAATTCATTTAGAAAAAAAAAAATTTACCCTAATGATATGCGCATAGAAAACCCCGTTACAACGTTATACTGTTCGTTAAAATTATTGACAACTACAACAGGCTTCTGCCAATTAATTCGGCATTGATAGCCCACCAAAAAATTAAACTCATGTAAGAGGTCTCCAATTAAAATTACAGTACCGTAAGTACAAACTCAAAGATGACATAATTCACTTCATTGGAACATCAGCTAGATATAATTTACATAACCCCAGGGATACTTCAATCATTTTGTAGATGAAAATATTTTTATTATACTCCATTTCCATACAATATTTTGGTTTTCGCTTTTACAATAAACCCCATCGACCGCCACAAATCTCAAGCTAATGGTGGCGGCTCATAACGATTTGTCTGTAATAACGCTTCCGCCGAAAAATGCCATGGAATGTAAATGAAACCCACTCTTGACACGAAAGGTGATATTGAATACACTCCTCTTGGACGCAATAAATGAGAACAGCTTAAACCCAAATATTTTTTTGCATTTCGTACGTGTCAGTAACGCGTGTCCTGTGTAAAGCTCGCAGCAATTCGAATTTCAGAATCAGAAACACAAGCGTACATCCGCTGGGGAGTTGGCGCAGAGTAAGGCGTCGGACGTGATGCCTGTACGCGAAAAATGTACTCCTTAGTGATAGGCAGAGGGAATTTCTGCTTCGTAACTTCATCTACCGGCTTCATATCGTAGGAACCAGCAATATCATCGTCATTCTGCAAAAAGAGAAGGACAATAAAATTACAGTCCGTAAATAAAACCCGAGGGATAGGAGCAAACCTTATACGCGGAGGAAAAAAATGACTTGATAACACAGCCAACGCGTCCGCTTGGACCATCAGAAACTTCAACTTCGGAACCTGTCATCAGCTGGCTAACAAAATCGATAATTTCTCTTGATTCCGGACGCACCAACTCTTGGTTGATTCCGTCATCTTCGCTGGCATCCTCGTCAGATGCCTGGCTATCGTAAGCCCCCTCATCTGCGGGGTCTTCGCCTTCATCCTAAAAAAAAAAAAAAAGGAATCCTCGAAAAACTCCCCCACAATACGATTGCCAAGGAGGAGGTCCGGGTTTGAGAAACCGGATGTACGTGCAGAGGTTCAGTTCCCAAGACGGAATCCCCAAGAATTTCACAAATCTATCAAGTTCATTGCCAGGCAAAATATTACTCACCTCCGAGATCTCCCCAAGGTCTTCCAAGAACTTCTTTTGTAGCGATACGGCCTTCGACATGATGAATTCAACGTTGCGAACATCGTTGATGATTTCCTATTCGATAAGAAGAATTTTGTGAATAAACAAAAAGTATTACGTCGGAATAATTGCTCACCTCATACACAACAGGATCAACCTGCGAGGCTCTGGAGGCCGGAACAAAGCGGTTTATCGCGTTTGCAAGTAACGCGTCAACAACCGGAATTTTAATTTTGACTTTCTTCTTTTCATCCAGCAATTTCACAATTGCACAGTGTAGGACCGTTGACAAAAGCAAACTAGCGACACTTCCCAAATCAGAATTGAGCGTGGACAGATAATGGAACACTTTTTCTGCCTCTCTGGTTTCGTCAAACAATCGACGCTGGCGTCGAGCAGGAACGGGTTTGGAACTTGCCCACAGCGATTGCCATTGGTTACCGGGAATATTCATCCGCACGCTAAGTTGGCCTAAGAAGAACTTTTTTTTCAGATTCGAAGCCCATCTAATAAGCTTGATGAGTAGAATCACACCTTTCTTTGACCATTCCGGTTCGCCAGGCTCCAAGATCCAATCTTTCGGAGAGTACCAACGAACAAAATCTTCCAATGCAGCATTCGGATTGGCAGCCTTGCATTTTAAAATGATATTACATTTAAATATCAGCTTTAAAAATTATTACAAAAGCACCTTGAATGATTCCATATCAGACAGCAAACAGGCAGATTGCATTTTCGCTCTCTGCTCTGCACCAGTAGCATCCGAACCAAGTCGTAATAAAATTTCAGCCTGTTGTTCTAAAATATCTTCCGTGACAGGAGAAGGTTCCTGCAACAAATTGATGCCAGTTCAAAAAATGGGTCGAACAAATGAATCAATTCCCGCGCAGGGTGAGGAACGAAAGCTTCGGAAGACAACAGAATATTGTACATTGATCATTTCAGGGAATATCTGAAGAAGCATTGCTGACCACCTGTCTTTGAAACAGATGGAGGATAGAGAGCAACGGTATGAAATTTCATGAGATTTAAATAACCAAACAAGGTTCAGGATATAATCGACCGCACCTGGGTAATGGGAATGTAAAGCGGCTCGTCTGAATGTAAGAGAAGGAAATTCTCATATTTTCTTAAGCGTCCGGTAGGTTGATTCCACGGTGCGTGACGGAACTCCTCCTTCGCTGAAACTTCCTCGACATTCAAGTTTTCCTCGCATTCGAAGAACTCATCCTCACCGTCTACGAAAATAACGCATATTCCTCAATTGAAAAAGTGGTCATTTAAAATTAAAACTGCCAAGTGCACTCAATTTAATCGATGAGAACCCCAAAAAGACCGCGGTTGGTTCATGAATTGTATTATGTGCTCCATTTTTTTAAATCTCGTAAGAATGATGGTCATTTTCAGGAAGTAATGTTTCATCGTTTCTCGACCACAGTTTGAATGTTTTGTCACTGACGTAGTCACGTTATAACGAAAGAAGTTGGAGGCGACAGTCCCCCTAAATACAATTAGACCTTGCCAAAACAGCCTCCACGTACATCACAACTGAACCACTTCAGTTGTACCCTTCCTTTTTACTTGGCTGGCTTACGATTCCCTGGCTTTAATATAATGTTTATTTGGGAAGAAAAGGACATTTGACAAAACAATTTACTGGCACAACTACGTTCTTTTACACCAACAGAATACAGTTCGAGTTTAGTTAATCCTTGAAATTTCCTTTAGCGACTAAAATCCTGATTCCAGCGCAAAATCTGTTTCAAGTTTTATCCTCAAAGCCAGTGTAACGAGGTCAAAAAATAAGTGATTTTGAAAGAGACGCACAATCGGCCACTGATTTAAGCTTTGAATAATTCAATGCAGTCTGAATAATTCAACCTGTCTGTCCATCAATGTCTGCGACATTATAAATGGTTCGAAAAAGTTGTATGCGTTAAAATCATTCAAAAATAAAATAGTACGCGGCCCTGAATTGGAGCTGGTGCACACCCAATAGCTATCATGAGATTACTGTAGTTGTCAGAAATACTTGAGCTACTGCTGAATTTTACTTGAAAACATAAATAAGCACTATATATTCAAAACAGCTTTTATTCGCTGCTGTTCTATACTGTGGCTTTAGATTTCTCAATACTGTACATAACAATTTCACAAAAGATACTTCAAGAATGGCTCACCCATGTCTTTTGATGAGTCAGTTTCAAACTCTTTGGTCACCAAGCCTTTAGTTCGATTTATTCTTTGTTCAATGCAACAGTTCAGCATCTATTGAAGAATCCAAAAATACGAGTTCAATCGTGAGATTGGAAGAAAAATTAATAACGCTCACTTGTAGCTTCTGGTACAGCAGACAATGCGCCAAATTTGGAGGACCCAGCATAAGCCTTTAAAATGAAAGAACATCCGCAAAAAATTCGATACGGTTGGCACAGAAAATTTTTTTGAAAAATTTACCCAGGAAGAAGTTGAGAATTATCCCAACAGACACGTAGCTGAACGATGAATGCGTGCCACAACTGGGCTGCACCAGGGGGTCCGCCCAGACTTGCTAACGCATGGGAGAAAACAAGCGCAAGTCGCCACAAAAGGGAGTCCTGCGGCGCAGTTTTGCAGCCTCTCAGTTTCACCTACACAGTTGAAGGAGTTTTTCTATGAAACTGATCGAGATATAATAAAAAAGAGTCTACCTCGAAAGGATCTAGAAGACGGGATTGGTCAAAGAATGCGCCGTGCTTGGTCGGACTCTGCAAAATAGGTCTCCAGTCATAAGAGGATCTAAATGTTTTCTCAAATTTAACTCACTGTTTTCGACTCTGAATCATCGAATAGCATTGAAATCATCTTCAGAATAAGGTCGGACGGAAGAATCGCCTCGTTCCAATTCCCAAGTGGAAAGAAAGCAGATTTTTTGAAGTTATCTCCAGTAGTCTCTAGGACAGAGCTCAAGGATGGTATAGGTTCCGTTAGTCGATCAAAAGCTCCACCAAAACTCGCTAAATATATAGGAATACAAACAAAAATAGACCATTTCAAGTACGGAAAACCACCAACGGCGTTCCAAAAAAAAAGAACAGAAACTTGCCAACATTTGAGGCCGTATCTCCAATTGAATGACCACGAAAATCACCATAAGCTCGCCTATCGGAACATGACTGCAATAGGCTTTCTAAGTAAAGTGTCATTAATCCGGAAGTCATCTCCGCCATCTGCACGCTCACACGCCACTCAGGAGCATACAAGGGATCGAAGTCCGAGTAGTGCTCACTTTCTATAACAGTATCCTCTACCATGCTCGGCCATACCGCACCAAGACTCAATTCCCTAAAAATACAGGATTCTCATTTCGGATAAAAAAATCATATATCATCCCAAACATACGAAATGGGATCATCACGGCAACCAAAGGGCAATGACAGGTCTTCGGATTCCAGGAAGAATTCTAGCGACGGCGGCTTTTGAGACCAGAATAAATGAACCCAATCCGTTAAAGCATAATTGAGGCGAATCGACACCCTCACTCGTGCCGAATTTTGCATTGAACCAAGTTTCGCGTTGAAGATGTTCAGAAGTCCTAGGAAAAATGCCAAGATCTCCAGATATGCAAGCATCAGCATATGGTTTTTTCACTCACCAGATAGAGTCAGACAAGCAAGCGGAACCATTCGTAAGTGTACCATGTCATACTCCGTTCGAAATGAGCCGGCTTCTCGGATTCCAATATAGAGTTGCTGAAAAGTCGCCTGAGCCTGGACGAATATGGGAAGGTAGCTGCATCAGAGAACCCCGTTTACTTCATGAAAGACTGCCGAATCCACTTTTTAAAACCCACCAGCCGGAATTCCGCAAAGCCATGCATGCGGAACTGAGGACAAGCTTTATTTTGCTTTCGGATGTCAAAAATTCTCCTGATGCGGGACTGAGGGTTAAAAATTCTCCACAACCATACCAGCGAGCCAAGGAGTGGAATCTCGCCAGAAAATCATTTCCAGCGCACATTCCTTCATTGGTAATGCGTTCAAGAGCGTCATGTTTTTCCACGTCGTCAAGGTCTTGCTCCTCTTTCGTAGAAGTATCCGGAACATTAAGAATATGATACGATACTCGAAACTTGAAACCTGCTTTCACAAGAAGGTAAAAAACATTTTAATGCCACAGGAATGAAGTACAGTACTGTCCGAATACGCACCACCGAATGTCAGTTCTTCAGAAATTCTTCGCCACACGCCGAGAGCAAATGATTTGTCTGGATACTGGTACCAGAATCTCAAGTTAGTGCCATTCAATTGCCACTCATGAAGAACTTCTTCCAAGCGAGCGACGAAGCGTTCCCATTCCGTTGGAGTAGTGAAATCACAAATTTCGAACACTTCAGATTCATCGGGATTTTCAGACATGATCCATGCAAAAAGATTACACCTTAAAATAAATAGTCATTACTAGAAGGGACTCATTTGCCAAGAATCAATGAAACAGTCGATGGCGATTCGCACTCCTCCAACTTCTGTTCTACGCAGTCAGATACATAATGAACATTTGTAGCACGTGCTCGAGCCAAGCAGATAGGAGCACAGGGTTTCACACAACGGATAAGAGCGCCACCATGTTTTGCCGCTGCCTCCATCTATGTATGCATCTACCAGGGAAATGTTCCTTGGCTTTGTACTGCTCCTTGTCCTTGTGTCGCCCTTCTGATTGTGGGGAGAGATAGTGGGAATGACTTTCGCGGATCTAACGGTGTTTTCGATGTTTAATCAATGGTTAGGATCTCTCACTCTCCCCCCCCCGTTTTTGCTCGGCGGTCACTGCCCTGTGATCTGGCAGGTCAGCGTCCCGTGATGTCGTCATGGCGGCGTTCAATTGGCAGGGGCCGCGCGTGCGGTTTCGGACGGCCTGGCAATATAAGTGTTTGCACACATGTAGTGTTTCGTCGGTGGTCGTCGCGTAGGCGTGGTCTCGGTTTTTGGCCGTTCGCGTGACTGCCTGAACTGTCGCGGTTTTGAGGATTTGGATGTGTTTGGTGAACCCCGATTGTGGTTCCCGTGGTGCATGGGCCCATGGTTGCAGTTCCCAGGCTTTCGCGCTGGCGATATCGGGTCCTGCGCCAATGATGTACTGGCCCTTGTCCACGCGGCGTATGATCATAAAGGGTCCAAATTGTCTTTTGCGGAATCGACGTGCTGCGGAGTGAAGGTCTGTTGAACTCTGGCGTGGGCGGACGGTGATCATATCTCCGGGTGTGAAGTCCGGGTATTTGCGCTTGTTTGCCTGTGCCAGCAAGCGGGCCTGCTGTACTCGAGCGTGTTTGGCGATATCAATTGGAGTGCCGCCGGTGTTAGGGTGAACGTCAAACGTGCTATCGGCTTCGAGGGCCGGTGGCTTTCCAAAGAAGGCTTCGTGTGGAGACACAGATGTCGTCGTGTGTGGAGTGTGGTTGTAGGCCTTGACCGTCTGTGGCAGGTGAGTATGCCATCGATTAACCGCTCCTTCCGTGGATTTTGTTTGAATCTGGCCAATGGTCTTGATTGCGCGTTTGCAGGTCCCGTTGCCTTCGGGATGGTTTGCTTGAGCAATGTGCTGTGCGCACGACGCCTGCTGTAAAAATTGGCGGAACGCTCGCGATTTAAAAATTGAGGCGCGGTCCGAGTGTATCCAGCGGAACAAAGGCTCAACAACATAACGAACGCACTGAACAAGCTAACGCCTCCGACATAGCCGCGCAACATGACCTTGGCGTTATTCCATGAACCTCTTGACTAGCTACCGGTGCTTTCGCATCGCCACAGGAACGGTGGATCGTGGTAGCGGTCCATAAAAATCTATGCATAGGCGGTCGCGTGGTGCGGTTGCGGTGATGCCCTTCATATGTTTGCCAGTGATCCGTGTGCTATCATTGTATATGAAACACTGGTGACAGTCCACCAAGTGCTTCCATATAATGTGCCGCATATGTGGCCAGTGAAATTGGGTACGCAAAACCTGGAGGACTTTCTTCCAGTTTGCGTGTCCGAGTTCCTGGTGATAGGTGTCGATAATCTCGCGGTACTGATCGGGTTGTACTGTCGTGCGTCCTTCCGCCAGTTGCAGGGACACTCTGCTCAGTGCGTCGGGCGCATGTAGTGTAATTCCGGGTCGGTATTCGAACACTCCGCGGTAGGGTTCTAGCTTCATTTGCATGCGTATCAGGCGCGAGGTGCGGAGTTTGCCCAGAAGCGGCTGGTGGTCCGTGACGATGCCAAATTTGCGGTGTTCCAAGTAGTGTCGAAACTTCTTGGTAACCCCCCAGATGACGGCGAGTAGCTCGCGTTCCGTATTTGTGTACCGGGTTTCGACATCTGTCAGGATGCGGCTCGCGTATTGTATGACCGCTGGTCCCGTGGTAGGATGTATTTGTACGAGTACCGCCCCGAGGCAGGTTGCGGAGGCGTCGGTATGCACCTCTATTGGCTGTTTCTCGTCATATCGCTCCAGATGGGCTGCCGAGGCGATGTGCGTTTTCAGGTTAGTGAATGCTTGTTTGGCGTTGTGGTCCCATACGAGGATTGTGCGCGGTTTGGCCGGGATAATGCGTCGAAGTTCCTTTTCCGCGGTGGCAAAATTCAGTGGTGTGTGGGCCCGGAGATATGTTGCCAGGCCCAAAAACCTCTGCATCTCCTTGGTAGTGGTGGCGGCACCCATGAAGAGGTGTCGAAACTCCAACACACCCCGACCGGCTCACGGACAGACCAGTTATTACTCCGGGTCTTTAAGCTACGCACATCGGTTTTTACAACTAAATAGCTACAGCTACCGACGGCCGGCCTCGTCAAGCGTGCTGATGACCTCCGTCAGGTTTGTGCACACTTGTTCAAAGGTCTCTCCGTACACGATGATATCGTCGATATAAGCAAGGCATTTGGTGAGGAGATGCGGTCTCAGAATTGAATTGATGGCTCTTTGGAACAGAGCCGGACCGTTTCGGAGTCCAAATGGTAAGACTGCATACTGCATCTGGCCCTGCGGTGTGGAGAAGGCCGTCTTGGGTCGATCGCCTGGTATTATGGGCAGGTGGTGGAACGCTGCATGTAGGTCGACTGTGCAGAAGTAGGCGTTCCGTGCAGGGTCCCGTAGATAATTTAGAACTTATTAACCGTACCCCATTAACAGCCCGCAGTCATCCCATAAGTCGAACGCCATCAGAAGATGGTCCGCGGTCCTAAACAACCGTCCAGGGGGCAGTTGCAGCGTCTTTTTTGGTGTCAAGAACGCGGGGGAATTATACGGTGAGGCCGCCGGTTCAATGATGCCGGCAGCCACGTATTCTGCGATAATTTCGCGAAACGGGGCCAGCTTGTCTGGTGATTGGCGGAATGGCGGGGATGCTGGCAGTGTGCTGTTTTCCGTGGGCAGGTTAACCGTGTATTCCGGGAGACAGCCGCGGCGGCCCGACCATTGGAAGATAGCGTCGGAGTGTGTCAGCAGAATTTCCCGTACGCGCTGGCGTTCCGTAGGGGTGCCGTCCACGAAGTTTATGCCCTCGCCAGGCATGTAGGTTGTGGGCGCTCGTTGTTTGGCGTGGTATTTGTAACCCACGTATAGGCGATTTCCCTCGAGCCCGATTGTGATGGGCATGCGCTCCAACAGGTCTCTTCCCATGATGATCGGATATGCAGCTCTGGCCAGGACCCAGAGGCATACAGGGTATGGTTTGTTTTGAATCATCAGAGTTGTACACACTTGCTGTGTGAGCCTTAGGTTGTCGGGTCCCGCCGTAGACACTGCCAACTCGTTTGCCGTCGTTTTCAACTGCAACGTACGCACGAGTTGTCCGTTGATGAAGGAATGTGACGCACCCGTGTCGATGAGGGCGTCACATGGATGTTCTCCAAGATATATTTGGAGCAGTATGGGTTGTGCGGCTGTGGTGGTAGCGGACAGGAGGCACAGCGCCGCTGTTACTGCCCCCTGCGCGCATTTCCCGACTGCGGGCAGTCCTTGAGGACGTGTTGTTCTCCGAGGTATATTTGGAGCAGTATGGGTTGTGCGGCTGTGGTGGTAGCGGACAGGAGGCACAGCGCCGCTGTTACTGCCCCCTGCGCGCATTTCCCGACTGCGGGCAGTCCTTGAGGACGTGGCCGGTTTTTGCGCAACTGGAGCAGGTAAGAACTCCTGCTGCCATGCCCGTCAGTGCGGGGCTTTCTGCGGCGGTTTTGTCCGGGTCCGTTTTGTCCTGTTTTTCATAGGAAGGATGGCTGGGGACGCAGAACCGTGCGCGGCAAGTGTCGACAGTGTGCCCCCCTACCTTATGGAACTCGCAGTAGGGTTTGCCTCCGGTTGAAGTTTTGGCGGTCCGGTCTGTGCGGGCGCGGGTGGACGCGGTTCTGACGGGCGGCTGCTCAGGTTGGGCGTTGATGATATTGCGTTGGCCGTCCACTAGTTCGAGTATTTCGTTCCAGGTGATGCCCGGTTTGGCCGTCAGTTTTGCGCGGAGTTTGTCGGCGATGCGTTCGTCTGCAGCTTGCAGTAGTTGCTCAATCATCATGGGATGCATGACGTAGAGATGCTCCGGGAGAACCTCTTTCGGTGCCAACTTGAGGAAAAGCTCAAAGTTGTCTTGGAGTCGTCGACCGAAGCACTGATACGTTT